ACAGGGTTAATATGGAAAAAAATATTTGTTCATAAACTTTTTTATTTTTCTTTAGTGTGATGACGACTGATTTTGTGCTTTGATGTTTAGCTCCTCAAACTCCCCAGGCTCTGTGGGTTTTATATCTGAGAGCAAACACAGCATCAATAGCTAGATCGGAGGCACTAAAAAAAAAATATAAACTGCAGACTCGTGACTCAGTTTTTTTTCTTTTAGTGACTTGATTATTAGTATTATTAAGAAATTCCTACAAACAGCACGAGGCAGATTCCTCTGCTGCTTCTCCAGCACTCACCAATCCTCCGCGTGCATAAATAACGACAGGTTAGCCTCGAGAGTATATGAATGTGTTTGTACGTGCAGGTGTGTTCATACATGTTCACATCCTCAGAGCACCACTGGGAAATTATGTGGATGCCGGCAGCGGCGCTGCTAGCTGGTTAATGATGCTAATGAGCTCCTAACGAGGAGACTGAGCGATGAGAAGACAGAGGAGCCTTGATGGTGGTTAGATTTCTAGTAAGCCCTTCCTCGCCTTTATCGTTAGAAAAAGAAGAAAAAAAACATTTCTCCAATGACAATAAGTGTAGCGAACTCAGCGGAGAGCAACTCTGAACCATTTTGTAACAAATGGTTTCTCATTACAGTTTAGGATGAGAGAGCAGAGAAGCAAAACGTCTTGGTAAAAATGGTTCAGAGATTCACATGCATGGCTGAAGGTCTAATAGAGGCTGTTTTACAAGAGCTCCGTACATCTCATAGTAATAGAGTATTAACACTGTTCTAGTCTGTCTTGATAAAGAGAGCACTTTTAGCCTTTCTTAAAGGTAATGTGGAGTATTTTGGTTGTGCATATGTGTTAGTGAATGGCTTTTGGGGAATTTTATAGCCCACTTTTTATTTTTTATTTTGCAGTGGTGAAGCTTTCTCCACCGTATACTTTCATATATCACTTTAACTACTCTACAAAGGGCTTTTAGATGTCATCTGTGTTTCCAGAGCATTATAAAGATAGCAGGCTGATATTCCCAGAAGAGTGCAGGGGCTGTAATATATAACTGCTACAGCCTTAGCAATGGACCTAGTGTCATTACCACTACTCAAAACAATGGGCCGCAGTGGAAATGCCTGTATAGCACTGTTCATATGCATATCTACCTCCCTGTACAGCTCTGTGATGGGTGACATTGCTGTTTTCCAGTTAGGAGCCATTGCTATATTGCTATATTCAAGGAGACTTGCTGATGAGATCGCTGCGCCACAAGGTCACAGCGACACGCCCTCAGCAGCTGATTAATATTCATGTTTTATGTTGTTTTATCTCACCAGTAATCATTTTTTTTCTTCCCGCCTCCCCACTCTCCACTCTTCATGTTTCTCTCTCAGGGCAATGTGACCTTTTCTTGTGCTGAGCCAGTTTCCGTTGCTTTGACGTTCCCCGGGCCACGGAGCTTCCTCCAGTTGCCCGGGACTGCAGCGTCCTCGCCGGGTGGCGTGTCTGTCGGATTCCAGTTCAGGACGTGGAACAAGGGAGGGCTTCTGTTCACCTTTAGCCTTCCTCAACAAGAGGGCATGGTCTGGTTATATCTGAGTGATGCCAGACTCCGACTGATGATCCATAAAAGTGGCTCAGTGGTGCTGGAGCTCAGTGCAGGTCAGTGTATAAACCTGCACAATGAAATCCTAACCTTTCATGAGTCAACCCCTTACTGGTTTATGTTTTTAATACTGTTTTTAAAATAAAAAGAAATAAAATATCATTAGGGTTGTCGCCTGCTGTTTTCTCAGGTGCTGCTCTAAATGATGGTCAGTGGCATTCAGTGGATTTTACAGCCAGACGCGGTCGCTTGACAATCTCTGTGGATAAAGGAGAAGGGGGCATTGCTCATGCTGCTCCCTCATTTCCCATCACCACAGAAAGTCAACTGTTCTTTGGCGGTAAGAGTGAATTCAGGCTTTTGGGCTTTTATAAACTAAAAAACTTTGAAATTCCTTAAGTATATGTGTTTCTACATATTATATCTATGCTTAGATTAACTGGAAAAGCAATTAGAAGATTTCTGTTCCTTCTGTTGGCTGTAATTAAAGTTCTTATTCAGTTACAAGATCCCCTGAAAAGTGATTTTAAAAATATTTCTCTGGAAAGCTAGATGTTCATGAAAAAAATACTCTTTGAGGTGTTTAACACTACATACACAGCTAACCTCCTTCATCGTGACTGTGTGGGTGTGTTCTTATTAAATTCAGGAAGCTGAGAATAAAAGCGAACAATCTCATGTCTGTTTAAATATTGCATAATCCTGATTCGTATAATAAATTGAATGGCAAAGTACATCAGAAACCAGTGTGGAAAATAAATCATGCTTGATATCTTTACTGATATGGATTGAGTAATGCGGGAGGAACAAAATGATTCTACATCATTTCATGGAAATGAAAATTATGACCGTACAGAGGACTGAATTCAAAGACACTCTTTCAAAAATGATGCAGCTGGTGGTTGTATGCATGCCTGACGATGTTGGGACATTTTCCAAATAAGATGATGGATGGTGTTCTGGGGAATCTCCTCCCAGCTCTGAACCAGCACATCAACAAGCTTCTGGATAGTCTGAGGTGCAAACTGGTGGCATCAGATGGACCAAAATGTAACGTCCCAGAAGTGCTCTATTGCAGCGGTCCCCAACCTTTTTTACGCCACGGAGCGGTTTAATGTCAGACAATATTTTCACGGACCGGCCTGTAAGGTGTCACGGATAAATACGACAAAATAAAATGATACGACTAAGAGGAAAAACTGTGGTATTCTGTAAATATAATAATAAACGCAAATTCACTGTGAAATTGTGTAACTTTATTAGCAGCGTCCTCCTGTAATGCACCAACAACATTGAGAGTAACATCCTCCCCCTCTCCCCCCTTAATGTTCTCTGGTCGCTATGATAACGCGTAAATATTTCTTTCAAAATAAGACACACAACTACAACACGGGAAAAGACCCAGGAAAACCGAGTTATCGATAAAAACCATGAGAACCATAAATTTCACACCCGAGCCTCAACTCTCATGGACCGGTACCAAATGACTCCCAGGGGTTGGGAGTGAATAATTGGAATTGGCACTCAGTGGTATCCTCCCCAAACTGCCTGCATGCTGTCACCACATGAGGCGTTGTGGTGCACCAGGAGGAACCCTGGACCTATTGCACCAACATACTAGGGTCTGACAGTGGGTCTAAGGCAACAACATCCTGATACCTAATGGCAGTCAAGGTGCTGTTACCTAACTTTTAGAGGTCTCAGCTTCTTCAAGAAGCTCAACAGGACAAGACTGAGCTGTACATCTGCATCTAAAGGATGAAGGTCACTCTTTCGAGGATGCCAGCGGCCATCTTTGAACAGAGGGGGTCGCTTACAACTGTCTGCCATCTATAATCCAGTTTTGAGATCCCTTCCCAGACGCCTTAACGCTCACTCACATTTTGAGTCGTTTGATCTCAGTAAGTCACATGACTGGGTGAGGCAAGGTCTCACAATGGGTTCACCTGAAACCTTGGCTGATAGTGACCCACACCTGTTTTCACACCTTGGCTGGTGAGATTCGGCGGAGAATCAATAGTACATCCATGAACATTATAGGGTCACTCCCAATAAGGCTTAAAAATCTGGGACTAAAATCCATCAATTGGTCTTAGAACTGAAGAAGCTTCTCGCATGAGAGGTGAAACGTCTTCAAGAAACTTAAACTAGTCCAGATGCTTTTCTTTCCAAGCTCCTGTATCCAACAAGGGTCCCTAGGCTAGACCCCCCATGCTATCCATGCCTACCTCAGACATGAGCGAAAGACAGGAAACTGAAACCATACCAGCTTGGACGTTGCCCGGATGTTGAGGAACCAGGACACACTGATGAGAAGTGGGCTACTAGAACAAGAAGGCACAAGTGGGCTATTGATATAGATATACACACACTTACAAGGATGGATGCTCATACTAAACATGGCTCAGTTTCAAATGCTGAGGTCAGTGCATGTGCAAGTACACCCTACATGCCAAAAACTCATGCAGGCTTTAGACTGGTCCACATTCTCGTTTCAGTGAGAGGTTGGATATCCCTAATATGGTCATCTCTGGCACACAACAGTTCCACCCATCTGTTGTTCAGATTTTCTGCTAACGAGGGGAAGTCAGTCAGATTAAGTTGGCTTAAAGGCCGAGGATTAAACAGCTTGTTCCAATACAGTTTAAAAGAGCATAGCTATGTTTATATAGAAGATGTGTATATTGCATCATACGGTTAGTGTACTCTTTCTCTCATCTTGCTTTTGTCTCTCTTTACTCTGTCCTTGCCTCATGCTGCAATCCACTTCATTCTCTTTCTTTTTTCTCCCTCCCTTTCCCCCTTTTGTTCATACTCCACTGCCTCCCTCGCTGCCTAAAAATCTCATCTCCTTTGTTTTCTATCTGCTCAGCAATATTGTAGTCTAGCATTTTGTTTAACAGCTTTAGGCTTTTTTATCATCCTGCAAGTGCACTCTCGCACATTTACACATTTACTCTCGTTAGCTGCAGTAAATGGACAACAACAAAAAAGATTACCTGTTTTCATATGATTTAAAGATAGATATGAAGCTATAAAATAGCCAATTAAAGGGTGCAAATGATCCCCGTAAGACTAATCATCAGTATTATGAATGCTATTAACTGCATGAGAAGACCAGGTCATCCTCACCAGTGTTCCCCTGGTACTCAAACTGTAATGGTTTTAGTGCATGTTGGACTTGTGGTCTCATGGGGCTCCCACTCCCCATATCATATCTCTGTTATTTGAGAAGTGAGAGCAATTGCTCTGTGGTGATTAATCATCATTAGCTGCCCTGCCTTACTGGCATAAGACATGATGTTTTCCTCCTGCACCAATGACTTAGGCTGAAGATAGCACAGGCAGGCTCCACCGGCTTTGACACACGGTCTTTAAGTGCCAGAGTACCGGGCACCACGGTCTTCCGCCTTCCCTGAATTCTGCCTACTCACCCAATCCACTGTAAAGAAGAGCTGAGGAGAAGCGGGTGTAGAAGATGCTTAGTGAGGGTGGTGATGGCGAAGAGGCTGGACTGGCAGAGGTTGAAGGGAGCAGCTGGTCAAATCTGTTTGCAGAGCATCTTAAACGGCTGATTTCTCTTCTGCTTGAAGCCAATAATGATGTTCATTCCTCTCTACACCTCTTTGATGTTATTGCACTGCAATTTCCTGTCTAACTTCCTTTTAGAGTCCCCTTTTTCCTGTTTCAAACTGCTTTTCAACTCATGCTATGCCAACCTAATTTTTTTCCCAGTCACTAAACTTGAAAACTTCCTTTTTCTCAGTTAGGAGGCACTCGATAGTGCACACAATCCAAGGTGTGTTAAAGGGAAAGGAGTGAACTCTGGTCCACATTTGCAGGATTTTAGGCACTTAGGAGTACAAGAAAAAAGCACAAATAACAGCACCACTCTTTATGTGGTAGAAGACCTTTTACCAGAGTTTGACTTCATTTTACTCTCACTCATCGTTTTACTCATGCACTGCAGTTCTGACATTTTCTAAAGGGCATAAGGACTTACCTAAGAAAGCTGTATGAACAGAAGTGTTCAATGCAGATGAGATATTAACTGATCTTTAACCAGCCAGCTCTGTGGGACAAAGGGCATGAGATGTTGGATTGTGTTGATATAAGAACAGAGCAACTAATATTTGGGCACATTCACTAGCAAGTGGGTGTTATGTGCTCTGTCTCCTGTATGCACTAGTAAGGCAGCGGTCTCACGTACATTTTACAGATTATTTTCACTGGTAAAAATGTGTGTGAGGCAGAGTTTTTACTGCTTTGTGCTACATGTTTTCACTTCACAAGCATGCTGTAAAGCTTTCATTTATACATTTAAAGCCAATCTGAAAGTTCCTGCAATATACATGTAATTTTCACACCACCACTAAACTTTAAAACCAAACTACTGGTCTTGTTAACACCTTGTGCACATGGCCTGTCCTGTTGTTTTCTTTGGAGGAT